ATGCCTCATGCACTTTTACCTGTTTACCTGACGACTGTAGTAGAAATTTCTACAACAATGTGATTCGGAATTGGATTTGGTAACTATTCCTTAATGTATTTTCCTCCAGTTTGACTAGCAGAAACAAGAAAGCCTTTTAAATAATGATAAAGCGAATCTTCAATTTTCTCTCAGCTGAAGTTTAGCTTTTTCTTGAACCATTTATATAAGAATATCGAAAGGTACTGAAATTTACATTTCTTTGGTGTCCTTATATGAAAGACCATGCAAGAGACTTATTTCAAAAGAATTCAAATACATCTCCCCCGTGAAAGTAATTAGATTTATTAGATCCCGACAAAGCGCATAAGGTTATCTGTGCTAAGAAGCAAAGTGTGTCTTCGACTAGTATTTAAGAAAACCGGCTGATGGGCTAATCTTTGGAATATGGTAACAGGTAGTTCGGCGACATTTTGTTAAGGCGATAAAGGTTTACTAGCTAGGACTTTAGCAATAATCCGAGAAGTTCTAATCGCAGATTCGAATCACGATTATTTTGTCTCAAAAATGAGAGATCATGAGACTGTCATGTGACATTTTCGCGAAAATTCCGATCGTGACTTTACTAATAAGCACTTGAAATAATTTCGCTGCTAAAGTGTAAATCTCACTATTTGTTTGGCGCTTTTTACAGAGTAAGAAGAGTTGGATTCTGGCATTTTCTTTGACTTTTAAGTGAAAATAAGTCGATGTGTACATGGATAAAGTCAAGAGTGTGCACAATGCCATTTTTGTGCAATTCTGGGATTTTTTTTAAGGGCAAATAGGTCGACGTGTACATGGATACCGTGTATGTGTAGTTCTTATAAACGCGGTAAGCAGTGGGCGATTCTGCACGTTCTCCCAATTTCGCACCTAATCTTCGTCATGATTAAGCACTTTTGTTCCATAAAAGTTCTAGCATAAGCGTAATTCGGCTAGCAGACTGTTTGAAAAAATGTTGAGTAAAAAAAAAAAAAAAAAAAAAACCTAGCAGGTTGCTGTAGTTGGGTTGGTCGCCAAAAAAATCGCCAAGTTACCATAATCCGAAGGTTTACCGGCTGATGTTTTCACTATAAGTGGAGGAAAACCTCGAATACTCCCAATACCAGACAACTCGCGACAGGACTTTATACTGCCATATCCTACTAATGTTTATTCGGACAGATATTGGTCACTTTCAGAGTTACTATTCATAGGATTGTGGTCCCACTAGTGGCGAAGTCGCTAAACATTGCTGAATAAGGGTAGTTCGACTCTGATTCGAATCCAAGCGAACAAGCTGGATGCAGTTTTACCCCGTATGCGATGAGGGTAAGAGCCAAATTCTAATAGGAAACGGTTTCATGAAAGTGACCGTTTATAACGTCCACCACAAAAACTTTCCTTTAGTATTATGTATTTTCTCCCAAGTTTTGCCATAATATAAAACAATTCAGAGACGGTCGTCTTAGAGAGGTGATCTTCTATATTGATGTCTATTCTCAAGCACTGGTTGCCTGCGGACTTCTTACGAACGACATCAGCAGAGGGGCTCCTAGCAGTTTTATTTGCATTGGCTTTAATGGCCGAAAGCAGAATTTGTGTGGTACATGTACCACTGATGGTGCATGTTTTGATAGATGTATTGGTAAATTATTAATTATGTAGTAGAAAATTTAAAAAGTTCGCCTGCTTTAAAGCTTAGCTTCTCTCTTTAGTAAAGCCCATAACCATCAAGAGGAAATCACTAACAGTATTTAATGATTAAATTATTTAAACATACTTCAAGTTAAATTAGCCATTTAATCACGAAAACGTAGCGACAGAAAATGAACGGAATAGTGTATAAACGTTTCTTCATAATATTAAATGCAAAAACTATTGCACGTTTGAAGCAATTCTGTCTGTTCAGGTTTCCTTGAACAACAGGCCTGAAACTCTGATTTATTATAAACCCGACATCTAATCCAGTAAACTTACACCCAACATTTTCACACGACTAATTAATGCTAATACAAACCCATCTCCGCCTGAGCGGCTAAAATCCCTGAACACTGGTCGTTCCGACCTGGGTTCGATTCCATGAGCATTTTCATGGTTTTCCCATGTGTAACGTGTATACCAGCCAGTTTTCCTTAGAAAGTCCTCCACAAAGGTATCCTACCCTTTAGGCAGATAGCCTTGTGGTGCTTTACCATAATCAACTAAACCAACCATACTAAATGTTAATACATTGTTCATTACAGGATCTTTCCTGTTGTAAGACAGCGTTCATGAAACAGTATCTGCAGTTATGTTATGCTTGCTTTTGGTATGAATGCTACTTCCCACCTTTATCTCCTGATGATGAGAGACCTGCACACCTTCCCCTCGACATCGATAAAGTCTTCGCTAAAGTACGTGCTAAGCAGGAGGTTGTTGGTCTGCCTGTTTTTGTATGCACCAAAGTTACTCATTGACGCCATTGAATTAAACGTGTTCTTGAATCTAATAATACTGGTTTTGCTCTTAAAGAAATAAATACTTTTAAAGTGAGTCTTTCGGTTTTATGTTTTGAATATTGAAAGAGCTAACGCAATAGGCAATTCCCATTTAGAAAATTTTTATAAGAATCTAACTGAGCTAACGAAAGCTTCTTGATATAAGTATTAATTTGGCGATTATATTTCTAGAGAAAACTTGGCGCCTTTTGTTCTCCATAGCTGCAAAAATAGTTTCTGTTTCAAGACCCAAGAAAGAAAAGAATAAAGATTTTTTTAAAAAAGAATTAGCGTTTACATTTTAAACAGCATGGCAGGAAAGATGAAAATATTAAACTTCATTAAGTAAGACTTCATTCCCGAAAGAGAACAAGTCAATTGAAATGCATACAATTAAAACTCACATTACCTTGAACCTAGACTAAATTCAACTTTAATTCTGAGTATACTACTACATTATGAAAGTGAATTGGATTGTGTGTGTGTGTGTGTGTGTGTGTGTGTGTGTGTGATTATGCCAAAGCCTCTAGGGCTATCTGCCTAAGGGGAGGGATGCCTTCGTGGAGGACTTTCTAAGGGAAACTGGCTCGTATACACGTTACACATGGGGAAAACCACGAAAACGCCCATGCAGCCAGCCCGTTCGCGGGATTCGAACCTCGGACCGAACTACAAGTGTTCAGCGACTTTACCGCTCGGCCGCTGGTGGGCTGAATTGGATTGAGTTTTAAAAAGTAACATTAAAACCTGGTTTTCAAGAATTCCTCAGCATATTTTCCTATGTTTCCACAAAAAGGGCTGGAAATATTTTAAAATGTTCTTCTAGTACTATGAAATTTTAGAAAAACTGATCTTCGCATATCTTTCGAATGGTTAAAGATGATTTCGAAGTTTAGAAAGGTAAATTTCAATGTTACCCTAATAGAAATTTAAGAGAAATACATGTGTAGTAGGAAATTTCGCATTGTAGGAAAATCCACTTGCCAAGCAATTTCCTACAGTAAAACACGGCCGCCATTAAATCAGATGCATTGTTTTTACATCTATGTTTTTATTTCTGAAGAAAGCACTGTGAGCGAAAGGTTTAAAATTATTCAGTTTTTTGCGTATGGAAGTAAACTAGTTTACTGCTTTAAGTTACTAGATTCAGATTTCAAGTTACTCTTATGACTTACTTTTTTCTGGTCATTAAACTACTAAAGAGTTTTTGCCAGTAGATCGCATTAAAGTGCACTAGGCAGGGCGAAGAAAATTCAGCTGCGTGAGCAGGCATATCGTAATACTTACGAAAGTAGGCGTTCATCATAAAAATTGTGCAGTGGTAAGCAATTAGTCATTTGCCCGTTATGTGGTTTACAGAAGTTATGGTAGTGGTGTCTATGATAAAACCTATTCAACAAGTTCCATGGGCGAAAATGACAGCCTTGGCAATTTTCAAAACGTTATCTCTTACAGAACTGATTCCTTAACATTGCATTGTTAAAACTCCAGCAACCACATTTACATATATGAAACTTACTCGTTTCTGTACGTCTGCTTCAGCGCTAATGCTGAAGAAATACTCATGAAGAGTGGTGTCAAGAAGGGCAACACTGTTACCCCCCCCCCCCACACACACAAGGGAATTGTGTCCTTGTGTACTTTCAACTGTTAATTATTGAAACAACGCAAAATACATTTATTTGCTAAGTATAAATGTATTTTGCGTTGTTTTTGCTAAGTTTACTTAAACATACTTCAAGTTAAATCACGAAAAAGTAGCGAGAGAAAATGAACGACTAGTGTATAAATGTTTCTTCATAATATTAAATGCAAAAACTACTTATGTCTTAATTCGCCTACAGTAAGCTTTTGCTAAGTTTACTATAGGCGAATTGAGCAGTTATAAAAGGAAGTTTTTAAACTGGAAGCAGTTTGGCGCATAAATCTGTTCCGATAAAATCACTTTGTGGATATAACTGAAGAATATCCAATTCCAACTGTATGGTGTGATTAACATGAAGAGTTCATGCTGCGTTTCAGCTGTTTTAACTTCTGGGGCCACAGAAGGGTGCTTCGAGTGAAGCGAGTACCGAATAGTGGGTCCAGGAGGACAGAACAGAAGATAAAAGAAGGACGTGAGAACTTCGTTTTGTGTGCAAGAAGATAAGTAACAGGAAAATGTACGAAGTAACAGAAAAATGTACGAATTACAATAATAAATAACATTCATTTTAAATACAAACTTTTGGACAATTCTAATAGCCAACTGAATTTAAATACCAATACTAAACTGATTTACCTTCCCTTTAAAACTGTTCTTAGCGATTAGAATTAATTTCTTTTTATCATTTTGCACATGGCTAATAACACATGTCGTTTAACAAAGAAATATTTAAAAGTATTAAATTCAACTTTAGTTTCTTCTCGTTGTGAGACCTCAGAGGGCATTAATTATACATAAACATTCCATCAGTAAATTTCTTTTTACATACTTTCTCAGCAACTAATTTAAACAAATTTAAAAATAACACACTTAAAAATGTTAAACTTCAACGATTTATTAACGTTATTTTTCTAGATTAAAGTTGTAAAGTGACAAAACACAGTAAAACTTACAGGAATAATTCAGTTAGTGCAGACAGCTCGCTGAAACAAAAGTACTAAGAGCGTCTCAACATACTTATGACTCAAACATGAGAAATACGACTTTACAGAAATCACAGGCAGTGTTACTGTGTCGTTTTATAATCTTGGTTAGGTGTTTCGATGGTGATAGGCACCACTTTTACGTTGCTAGCTGGCGGTTCCACCACCTTCAGTGGAGCTTGCACGATCAGAATTCCATTCTTGCTCACAGTAGATGTCAGCTTCTCTTCATCCACACTTTCTGGCAGCAAGTATTTTCGAGTGAACTCACGCATGACGAAGCCATGCTCATCAGCTTTCTCCTCGTGTTTGCCATGAATAACAATGTACTTGTCAATGACCTTCACGCTGACCTCCTCGGGCTTGAAATGACTCACATTCACGATGACTTGGAATTTGTCAGACATTTCGCCGACAGCCAATTTGCCAGCGTCAGTAACACTTCTGCCGATTCGGGGCAAAACGCTACGTTTGGGACCAAGGGCTCCTGTCAGGAACTGCTGGAATGGTGGGAGTCGATCAGGAAGATACCAGTTCCGCAGTAAACCGTCAGACATGCCTGCATAGAGCGGCGCTAATGGTGAGGTCATCTTGAAGAGGTTTGATGACATTCGTAAAAAAACAGCAGAAAAAGGAAGTATTCTATCACCACCAGCTAAACTATGCACTTCTGAAAATGGGGAATTTCAAAGTACATTGCAGGGGGTGTTCAGTACCTTTTATATAGCAAAACGATGCGCAGAAATTTTTAACATTTTCCTCTACCTTCAGAATTAGCATATCACCATAGCAACGAGATTCGCAGAGTTGTGTCGTTTGTTTAAAGCGCGTGTTGAAACCATGGATGAGAAAATGCAGTAAAAGTTATTATCTAAACGTATTATTCTACGAATAAAGAAAAATCGTTAAGGTCTTCGCATTTTTGCAATGAGATACATTCCGATGACCTCATTGATCACGTGACTTATCAGTAATTTTGCAAAAATCGTTTTTGCTTCAAGACCCTTTTATAAACAAACAATGCATATGATCTCAGAGATCACGTGACTTATGTACAGCTAATGCAAACAAGCAAGGTCATTCTTCCGCTGTTTGGTACTACAAAAGGGGGGATGCTCTGTGGAGGACTGTTTAAAGGAAATTGGCTCGTATCCATGTTACACACGGGGAAAACACGAGTCCATACAGTTGTCCTGTTCGCCAAGACTTAAACCCCGGCTCGAACCACCAGTGTTTAGTGACTTTTACCGCTCGGACATTGTGTTGGATTTCAGATGAATGTAGGTTTTATTTTATATGTGCTTCAATTTAACATTACTTACTTTCCTGTAATTTTTTATTTAATCTCATTTGGCCACGAATAATTATTGTTAGTTTAGTTTCTTGGAAGCGGCAACAAAACTATTTATAGAATAAGCAAAACATATACTAATTCAGAAGTCAAACAACAAAAATCAGCGTTAATTTGCAAAATTTTCACAGGACTAGTTTCGATGGTTTTACCGAGCCATCTGCAAAACCGCCTGGCGGTTTTGCAGCTGAAGATGATGGCTCGAACCATCGAAACTAGTCCTGTGAAAATTTTGCAAATTAACGCTGATTTTTGTTGTTTGACTTCTGAATTAGTATTTATTCGGCGTGTTATTGTGTCTTAAGCAAAACATATGTTTATGTAGTTACTTATTCAAAGAAGAATGACATGTTATGTACATATGTTTTACTAAAGTTAATAAATGAGTACTTTAGAATATTTTTTAGTAGTCTCTTAAAGTCCTTGATACGCTCGTAGCGTAATAGTTTAGGCTAATCTTTGGAATATGGTAACAGGTAGTTTGGCGACATTTTGTTAAGGCGATAAAGGTTACTAGCTAGGACTTTAGCAATAATCCGAGAAGTTCTAATCGCAGATTCGAATCACAGATTATTTTGTCTCAGAGAAATGAGAGATCATGAGACATGTCATGTGACATTTTCCGGAAAATTCCGATCGTGATTTTAGCTAATAAGCATTTAGAAACAATTTCGCTGCTAAAATGCAGAATCGTCCACTTATTTGTTTGGCGCTTTTTACAAGAATAAGAAGAATTGGATTTTTGTCAATTTTCTTTGACTTTTTAAGTGAAAATAGGTCGATGTGTACATGGATAAAGTCAAGAGTGTGCGAAATGCCATTTTTGTGCAATTCTGAGATGTTCTTTTAAGTGAAAATAGGTCGACGTGTACATGGATACCGCGTATGTGCAATTCTTAAAAAGGCGCGAAGCAGTGAGCGATTCTGCACTTTCTCCCAATTTCGCACCTAATCTTCGTCAAGATTAAGCACTTTTGTTCCATAAAAGTTCTAGCATAAGCGTACTTCGGCTAGCAGATTGTTGGAAAAAATGTTGAGGGGAAAAAAAAATGCCTTTACTTCGTAAAAACAAAATAGCGCCAAAAAAAAAAAAAAAAAAAAAAAAACTAGCAGGTTGCTGTAGCAGGATTGGTCGCCAAATTTTCGCCAAAAAATCGCGAAGTTACCAAAATCCGAAGATTTACGATAGTTTATTTTGACGCGTAAGCGAACACACTGGTGGGCTTCAAGTAATAAAGGTCACTTCAATTTGATTACATGAATTATTGCCCTTACGTGTTACAGAGAAGGCTTGAATAAATTTGGCGATAATTTGATGCGAATAATTTTTCTTTACTTCTGGTGGAAAATGTTTCATAATAGCTTCTAAACTAGCTTCGAAGATTTTTTTTGCTTTGAGCTACAACTTTCTGCCTGAGGTGATCTTAATTAAGTACGACTGCAAATGGTGTCTTGCTGTACGCCTGTGTTCCTTGTTTAGACATTTTACTCTCTCGATATTTTATGTATGAACGTACTATTGGTACTACTTTGGTAGACGGTTGCACGGATTTTTGGCGATTTACATTGGCGCAATTGTTGGCGCGTTTTTTACAGTCGTCAGCCATCTTGAAAAATGCTGTTTTTACGTATTTCACGCATAGTAAAGTATTCGAAACTTTAAAAAAATAAATGTAGTTAAAAATAATGGATTAATTTTTTGTTGAAAACGTTGTTTTTTTAAGATGGCTGGCAAATGTAAATAAATACATTTACTAAGAGTAAAAAATGCTGAAGTAAGGTTAAATTATTACTTTCATATAATAGAATCAAAACACCGCTATAAAAACATTGCGCCAACATTTAATTGGAATAAAATATTACTTAAATTGAATATTGAATTCAAAACATCATACCAACGTTTAAAAGAATTAAAATTTTCAATACTTACTTAAATTAAAATCCTTTAAAATAAGTTTTATAGGATATAATTATTTAACATTAAAACATATGTGGCAATAAATATCTCAGGAATTTTTCAAAATAATGTATTAATTTTTTAATAAAAACTGAAGTATACAATAATAAAGTAAAAGAAAAATATGTACTTAAATTTTTTTAAGCATTTTACCTTACGTATATTGATAAGTACCAGAAAAAAAAAAAAAAAAAAAAAAGATCTTCATCTGTTATCCACATCTCTCGCACTTCATTGAAGAAGCAATTAGCGAGGTTTCCTCCAAAAATTTTAAATAAATTTCCTCTGACTCTTGCAACAATAAATAAATCTTTGATTAGGAAATCCAGGTTGGCCAAAATAAGGTCTCAAACGGCAATTTTTTTACGCCGATACCAATAATTCTTGGTAATTATTAACAACATTCATCTTTGGAACGGAGACATCCATTCGCTTTGAAATCTGAGGAATTCGAAGAGATGAATAATAAAATTTTAAAATGGCGCGGGTAATGCACAAATATTCAGTAACCAATCAAGGAGCTGATTACGTCACGCACAGAATTAAAATTATTTAAATAATCATTCATAATAAAATCATATTTAAAAAATGCAAAATTAAATTGTATTTTAATATTTAACAGCCATAAATAATGTTTAAAACATTAGATTAAATTTATAGATAATAAAACCAATTTCTTTTAAAATAATGTGACGTCGTTCATTACATCATTCACAACATAAAATTCTATAAAATATCATAAACAATAAATTTTTTATTTAAAATAAAAATGCAAAATTAAATTCATTTTTATTATTTAGAAGTCATAAATAATATTTAAAACACGGAATTTATGCATAATAAAACGTATTATTTTTTAAATAAAATGACAACAAAGTATCGGTTACCATTAATAGCCTGTCTAGCATTGCGTTTACCATAAGTCATATCGCTCGCCAAAAACAAATCGCCAAAAACCGTGCAACCGTCTACCGTGCTATTTAAGACACTACAATGATGGTTATTTGACAATATAATTATACTGTTGTAAAACATCTCTCTCATTCATTGTTTGTTAGATCCAATTGTAATTTATTCTCCACAGACTCATAATCCAATTATTACTAAAAAAAAAACGGTACGTGAAAAAAAAATATGCGTAAAACTTACATACTGAAGTGTTTTGATATTTGACATATTTTTTATAATCGATAATAACGCCAAATGTGATTTAAGAAATTTATGAAAGTTATTTGGTAAAAATATATTTGCGGGTATCCCTTTGCGAAAATTGGCGGTACATGGATACCGAGTTTGTACAATTCTTTGACTTGTTATTTTGGCTTGTGTAGCAGCGAAGTTTGCGCCAAAAATCGCCGCTACACAAAGCTAAAATAAAAAGACAAAAAATTGCACAAACTCAGTCAGTATCCATGTACACACTATTTTCAAAATCTCAATAAACTACATTTTAAATCAAACAATGAAATAACATAAAAAAGGAAATTAATCTTTGTACTACACAAAGGAAATATCCACTTACAGTGGATGGACAAAAATATGGAAACACCTTGTGAAATGCATGTTTGAAAAGAAAGATTGATTTTAATGAAATATGTAGGTGGCGCTGGCGTTTTTGACTACTGACGCCACCTATACAACTTCGTAAATGTGCTAAACAGTTCAGTTGTTGTCGGAGTACTGTTATGAGAGGTTGTCATTGCATTATGTCAGAGTTAACAGACTTCGAACGTGGGCAAATTGTTGGAGCACGTATGGTAGGTGCTTCCATAAGCAAGGTAGCCGAGGTGTTTAGTGTTTCAAGAGGTACTGTATCGAAGATTTATTCCGCATATTTGAAAAGCGGAAAAACATCAATCTGCTAAATCACAGCGCGGACGAAAGTGTGTTCCTGAGTGATCGTGACCAGACGATCATTAAGGGCAATTGTGACGAAAATTAAGAAGACCACAGCTGCAAAAGTTACTGCTGAAGTGAATGTTGTGTTACCGAACCCTGTGAGTACCAAAACAATTAGAAGGGAGCTTCATAAACAGGGAATTGCTGGCCGTGCTACAATTGAGAAGCCACTCATCAGTGATGCTAATGCCCTTAACAGGAAAAGGTGGTGTTTAAGTCATAAAGCCTGGACTATAGAGCAGTGGAAGCGAGTAATATGGTCTGACGAGTCTTCTTTCACATTGTTTCCCACTTTTGGCCGAGTTTACGTCTGGAGAACGCCATCTCAAGCCTATAATACAGACTGCTTGTTGCCAAGAGTGAAACATGGCGGGGTTCTGTTATGGTTTGGGCAGCCATATCGTGGTTCTCTGCTAGCCCCATGATAACTGTGTCAGGGCACATGACTGCCAAGACTTATGTGAACATTTTGGCCGATCAAG